TCGCCCCGCGTGAGACCCTCAGATTTAAATCTCGCGTCGGATGTGAGCCCTTCAGTCGAGTCGAGATTACGAATGCAAATGTGCGTCACGTGATGAAAAATTCAAGTCTCAGTGTAAATTCAGGTTCCAGCATCTCACACGAGGGAAATTTCAAGCCACGATTATTGTTGCAACAGGAATCGTTCCATCGCGGTCTCGTTCATAATGAGCGATGTTTCTCGCTTCTTTTCTCGCTTCTTTTCTCTCTTGTGAATAACCGCACGACTGAGTAAGTGACTACATTCTGAGCGTGTACCCGACTAAAAATTTTGATCAGGTTCACCTAACATTGCTAAGGACCTAATAGGGTGAATGAAAGGTAATCCTAAGTAAGTTAGTCCTTACAAGTCCTAACGACAAATGAGTAAGGAAGACCTTTGTAAGGTTACAATGATTGAGTCCACATTAAGACCTTAATGTACCAACCTGATGTATGATATAATATGGTTCAGTTGATCAGGTCCTTGTCGGGATCTTATTCATTGTACCTAATACGATTTGCATCATCAAGTTTTAACAAAAACCATTTGTAATTAATTTTATATGTATATAATATGAATATGTGTGTGTGTATGTGCACGCGCGCATGTGTGTGTGTGTGTGTGTGTGTGTAAAACTTTAATAGTACTGGACATGGAGTAAAAAAATATTTTTATAATGCGCCACATATAATTAGAAACAGTTCAATTTTTATTGTATGACGCGCAACGACGAGCTGCCTGTAGCGGCGTACGGCAGCTCTCATTTGTCTTGCATTTGTCCATATATGGGCCTACAAGACGAAAGACGCTTGAGAAGCAGTTCAGTCGCCTACTCTGTGATGGGATGTTGCGTATCTCAATGCGTGTTTATGTTGCGCGATAATTTATTGGTTGTGACGAAACATTTTACAAGTATGCTCAAGCGATCTTATATCATAATAAAATATTATATATAATAAAGAAAATATTATATCGTGCAAATATCTTTTTATTTGGAAATGACATGAAAGAATTTTCAGCGTGTCATTTCTTATTCTTTGGATGTCATCATCCAATATAGCCGCGGCGAGTAATCAGGAGCCATAATTTGAAAAAAAAAAAGGTAATAAGGATCCAGAAGATAACTCAATAAGGATCTGACTATGAACCTTACTAAAGTCCTGATATCCACGCTGCGTTACATAACTTACTAGGACCCGATAGTATTACCTTATTTGGACCTGATGTCCAAATGAGGTTAACCTGATCAGGACCATGGGATAAATTTCTAGTCGGGTAGAGTTCTTTTCCAATCGAATGCAGCGTTTCTAAATCCTCGAACTGATAAGAAAGTAACATGTTATTGATGAGAGGAAACGGTGGAATATCGATTCTCTCAACTGACTTCTCCGCATCTACAAATACGACGTTTATTTGATCTCGTTTATAAGAGTCTACGTTTACCCTCACTTATTGAAGGCTTCATTATCGCCGTTCGCGCTTTCTCCTTTTCAGCGACTTTTTCCGGTATTCCCGAATATCCAATTTCGGAGAACGTCCCGTCTCACGATGATTATCTGATGCTTCCGTTGCTCGTTCAAAAATTATCCGGCATTTTGGAATATCTTGAACGTACTATTCTCGACATACGTTCGACAATAAGAGCAACGATGCTGAGAAAGATTAATATAGTCTTGAGTCATGTACAGGGTGTCAATATACAGATCGGTACGATGGGTTGCTCGCCTCGATTCGATAATGCAGAGGTTGCTGTAAAAGTCACTCATTGATTATGTCGATAATGATATTTGCAATGTTCCCAGTTATGATAAGTGCAACTAATTTTGCGCCGGAATCGTTTATAACAGAGACCAAGCTTCATTGAAAATTTCTGATTAGACTGTAGAATGCTCGTATTCTGGACTCTCTTTTTTCGAAAAGAAGCAGCTTATGAGTCTTCTGATTTGCTTATAAGCTACAAAAATTTCGAAGAACAAACGCTATTTTTTATAAAAGAGACGTCGAAATACAAGATTAGATACCGAAATGTCACTTAATAGTTATCATCAATTAAGTTGCGATCAATAATTTATTCTGTGTTTCCAGTCGACTCATATTTTTTGCAGAAGCAATCTATTCCAAAAACGATGGAAGACAGTATATACGACTTTCCAAATATTTCCGTACCATTTTTTCTAATCTCCAATTTTTATCGAACTTTTCAATGTAAGAAAGAAATTAAGAAATTATGTGAAATAAGAAAATATGTTGCATTATTTATCTCTTTATTTGATTACTCTTATTTACTCTGCTTAAATTCGTAATGTTTATTTCTCAGTTTTACTTTTTTAAACATTTTTTTTTAATTTAATGAGGATTTAATGATTTAATATAATTTAATTTAATGAGCTCAACTGTTATCACAAACACTGAGAGAAAAGTATATGATATTTGGAACTATAATGATATAGTAACTAAATTATAGTCCGAAATATCATATTTATAGTAAGTATTACCATAATATCGGTAATAATTATGATATAGGCATAGTTACGATATAACCAACCATATAATACTTTTACCAAGAATTATAGTAAATTAAACTAAAATTATTGTATGGATACAAATATAAAATGGTAGGTAAAAGTAACTCTTTTATATAGTCAATATTACCCGAATATTTGCTAAATGATGACAGATGTATGACTATATGAATATTAAATCTCACTATATTTGTGAATGAGAAATTACCATATATGTGGTAAGAGTAACTAAACAATTATTTAAGACAATCATTGGCTATATACTTGTGTTTATTCTACTATATTTTACAGGTTTCCACGAACTATAAAAATATGGTTGACGCCAAAATGAACTATAAAATATAGTGAGATTATAGTTAATTCAACTATATTTTTCTATCAGTGAACGATCACGGTGTAAAATTATAACTGAGAGCACTGCAAACATCATTATCGAAAAAATTAACAAATTATTTTTTCGGTAATCCCTGTATTATTGTCCGATTGGGATAGACAAGGGAGGGAGGGTCCGTCGTGTTAATCTATATTGTTGTTACATTCTGCACGACCACAAGTCTGAAAGTTGACACACTTTTCTCCGACGCAATTTAAAATGCGGATTTGACGTTCGGCGGTAAAAAAAGAAACCTCTCTCATGAGAATTGCTAAAAACAAATTTTTCCATCGAACGTCAGCTGTGTCACGAAGAAACAATGTGCCAATTCTTGCGTCTGCGGCTGCACAGACCTTTCAGTTGCTTCACTATTGTCAACGGTCGCAAACATTTCGCTGCGATACAGAACTCAATCGCGAACATCGCAAATATTCGAGCCCAGTCCTGATTAATTCCAATGCACTCCCGATGTGTTGGGCGCGCTTCTCACGGGTGCGAAGTGGAAACCAGCGGATCGAAACTCGTGTTGCCAGAAAATATAACTTTTCCGTAAATGAGGATTTACAAATACGCCGGTAATATTATAATATAACATTAAATGCACAACATTGTCGAGATCGTCTCGTCTTTTGGTCTCGCCTTCGCGGGCAACAAGTATACCGAAATTCGCCAGGCGTGCTCAGGCGGCTGCATTGCGCTCTTTTGTCATCGCTTGCAACAAAGTATATACATTCCCATTGCCACGTCGACACACATACATGTACACACAATTGTACGTTGACCCGCGAGAATCGTTCGCGATAAATTCTGTAGAACAATTTGTCGTATTATCGGCGATCTCTCTCGTACTCCACCTCGGTCGCGCACCGTCATTCCCGGCTTATCATCGTCCTTCTATCTATTATCTCCGATCGCCATCGTAATTTTGTTTCCCGAAGGGGCGAGTTTGTCCGCGCCCGCGCGTGGGAAAAATGATTTTCCGGGATAACAAATCCCGCGATTGCGGGATAAACGAGGTTACGGCTTACAAAGGAAGAGAAGAGAAGGGCAGTGCGGCGCGGCGCAGCGCAGTCATCGTGGCGCTCCTTCTCCTGAAACTGGAGAGACCGACGGATATCCAATTCGAGCTATCGAAGGTCAAGTCGTCGTGGCACAAATTGCGTTACGGGGGATCTTATTTTCCCCGGTCTGCGCGCGCGCGCGCGGGCGAGTCCTGCCTCTTCCGCTGCTATTCTTCCCGGATGCAATTTTTCCGGGCCGGATAATAAGTTATTCGATCGCGAATTATCGATTGTTCTCGGACCGCCGATTTCTCACGCGAATTCGATTTGTCGGAAACGCCCGCGGCAAAATCGAGAGCGAATTCGAGAATGACGAAATTGCGCGCTCGCACGCTCGTTCCTTCCTCCGTTCTTTCCCGCAGCGTGAACTGGATTAGATTAGATCGTCCTTTGAGACATTTTGAGACGACCAGATTTTACTTTTCTCTTACGTCGTTCTCTTAGCGAGTCTCCGGATAATCCCGTTATTTGCGTCTCAATATAAGTCCGCGGGCGTGCGAGTTTTCCGACGATCTTCTTATTCGCTCGAGAATTTCGAAACTGTGTCAAACACTTCCACAGTCGTCTCCGATACGCTGACGGGACGTTGGAATATTTCAGACGAGCACTCCATAAATGTTTCGTGCTTTGACATCTTTCTGATACTCGGGCGCATAAGTGTAATGGATTAAAGATTCGCGCTACATTTTTCAATCCGCCGTTCGCGGACTGTTTCCGCGAGCCGCGATTCATTTAACTGGTTCTTATTTGAACTGGTGGTTTTTCCGCGAGCTTTTTCTTTTCGACGGATATAACTCTGAGAAATTCGCAGCGTCGCGCAGCCGTCGTTTCCAAAGTTCCCCCCCACCCCTCCCCCGCCCCCGATTTTCGATTCTCCACCTTCGTGCAACGTGCTATTCCAGCCGATATTCGATCTGATTTTCGGGCTGAAGATTCGCGACGGGAGAAATCCGTTTATTTTCCGGACGGTCTCTCGTCCGCTTATCTTGTAGCGATTATGAAAAATGTCACACAATAGACTCACCGGCGAGGCGGCCATAGCGCTGGAACATTCGCTCGACGTCGGTCTTGCTGCACTGAAACGTGTTCAGGTTCCCGACGAAGACGCGTGAGTTCACCGCCTGTGGGTCCTGCGAATTGGTCTGATTACCCACTTTGCTCATCTTCATCGCCTGTAACGAAGCAAAGGGAGAATCGTTGAAACGAGACACGATCGAGTAATTGAACAAACTTTTTATCTCCCCGCTGCTGGACAGGATAAGTCGGAGTATCAAAATCTCTTTCAGACGGGAAGCACTATTCTCATAAACCCTTTAACGCCCGACTTTTTTACAAGTGTTTTAAGAATAAAATTTGAGTTTTTTTTAACTGAGACTACAAGTAGCGATAACCAAAAGAAATATCGGAATTTTACATCTACCTTTCCAAGCAGAAACTACTCCCAGAAGCGAAAAATACGCCTGATCGGTTACATTTTTTTTTTAGTTTTAATAATTTTATATCATACCTAATGGTGGGAAAAAAATTCCCCGAAACATAAAACTCATATTCAGAACTTGATCTTTATTTGAATTGCACAAAGCATCGAGAGATGCAGAGGGGAATTTTACAGGTTTGGCAAATTATTTTTGTCCTGCTTTCTTTGCTTCCCTTTCGAGCTGCACAATTGACAACGTCTTTTACTGTTTCTCTTAACAGGCATGTGCCTGTTGTAACACTTTCTGATGTCTTCGGTCACCTTCAGTTTCTTGTTGTCAAAGTGAACTGGTCGCCCCATGTTATCATTAAAACTGAGCTAAAAACAGACTAAACCGAATCTACATGCAATCTATAATATATACCATTTTTTAGAAGAAGAATTCACCTTTACAGTGCAGGTGCAATGAAAACGAAAATACCTCCTTTTTTGAGTTTTTAAGTTATTTAAGTTATAGATTCTTAAATGCGTTCCTGGTAACTATAGTTACCAGTAGACGTTAAAGGGTTAAACGGGCTTGTCGCTCATTTTCGTATCTCTAATTAGCCTCTTCTCGAGTACATCGCTTCGCCGGGATCGTCACGGTCTGTCACTCGATTTCCGCGTCGATATACATTTCTTCTTTTGAAGAAGCCGGTCATACAAAGGAGAGCGCGGAGTGGGGTGGGGCAGAACGGGAGGCAGCGGATTAATTCAATTAATCGATGCGGGATCGATTAATTCCGCGAAAATGCCGGGGTCACCGCTAACGATCTCGTTAGTTTTACGCGTTATTTCGCGGAAGTAGAAAACGAACTGTTGCACAATGGGATTGCGAGGCGTTAATTAATCCACGACGTGCCAATTAGCGATCGCGAGAAAGCGTCTCTTTGACGCGCCGGGAAAGGCCACCTGCATGCGAGAACGCGTAGCGCGTATCGTCGACGTTATTATCTTATTTGCTATCGTTTGCCGTTGCCTCGTGTCCTTCCGCTTCCGAATCGGAAACGGAAGAAGCTGAAGGGAAGAGGATGGCGACGACGAGGATGAAGACGGAAAAGCGAAAGAGGAGGAAGAGAATTGGCTGGCTCTCTTTTCGTGGACAACATGCCAGCCTCAACATTTACTTTCTACGGAAACTTTTGATTATAAGGTGCGTGTGTGTGTGTGTGTGTGTGTGTGTGTGTAATACACGCGGAACATATGCGGAATGTGTGTTTCGCGACTTCCAACTTTTCAGAGGCAACTCTTCCAGGCAGATACGAGGTCAGTTTTTCGCCGAGTCAAGATGTCGACGGTCCGATAATTCACATAGCGATGATACCGATCGAGAAAAAGATAGAGAGAGAGAGAGAGAGAGGAAAAGGGAAAGACAGGAAGACTCTTTTCGAAAGCTAAGAGTCGGTGGTCTAATTCGGCAGCGCCGTGCGCGTTTCTGCCGGCTAAATTTAAGCGAACGGACTTTGATTCAAGAGTAGTAATTGAAACTTGACGGGAGTTATGCAAAGATACGCGCTATTTTAATACAAATATACATGTCGACGTGTGTGCGAATGTACACACGCCAGGAGAAAGCGAATACACTTAACGTAAACGTTAACATTAAAAACGAATAAGGGCGCGATTATGATGAACTTTACGTAACGGGACGCGACGGGACGTGAAGTGACGTGACGTGAATTTGACGTGAGTTTGAGGTTATATTTGATATTACGATCACCATAACGTAATAATGAATTCTGCTGTGAGGCATTAACAATTTGTAAATTTAATTTCGACCGGGTATTTGTATCTTCAACTGTGGAAGAGGAAACGAATACGAACCATTGGTGTGAGAGATTTTTTTTCCGAAGAAGAATTCATTTGCACAGAACTCAGTAACACAGTTACACTCATGCATACGTGACGTATATCATTTAATTTAATTATGCAGCATTCGACGGGAATATATTCGCATCAAGTTTGACCTCTTGAGCCGTTAATACGGATATTTACGTCACACATACCGTTTACGTTGGTCCGCGTTTGACACGGACATATGCCGGGGCCGAATTTAAACCGAGTTTCAACGGTTAATATCCGCGGCGCGCTTATATAAGATAGTAGCGAATATCGAATACAATTTATGCAAAACTGCACAATTAAAAGCAAAGTGGAGGATTTCACTGTTCGCAATCCCGTGGGTCTCGCTGTTCGAGGAACTTTCCGCATGGAGGAGCGTCGATAACGCAACGAATAGAGTCGGACAGTCGACACTATAAATTAGAGTTGAAGCTCCGGTGTTTTTCGAATAGCTTCGGAATAATGGAGTTACGGGGAGAAAAATAACCTTTAACATGTATGTGACGTAATAAGCTCCGAACGTTGTTACGAAAATGTTTACAATAATTTTTTACAATAATTTTTACGATAACGCGAGAGAATATATATTCCTGATTTATTCGTCGCAAGGAAATATTAGCGGAATATCAGGTATTATCAGGTTAGCGGGGAAATAAGCTAAACGATTTAAGAGGAATGCGCGAGAGCGCGAAATAAACTATGTTTAAATTTGCTTGGCGGATTATGAAACAGGTCAATGGAGCCAGGATAACTATTCGATACAATATACGTAAGCAATTTATGCAATTAAATGCACCATATGTAGTATGGATTAAACTCCGATAATGAAATTTCGAAGCGTGAATATTCGCGAACATTTGGATATTCCGAACAGTCTGACTATCCGGCACTTGGAGAACTCGAAAATAGGTGCAATTGAATGAGTTGCCAGATTAGTTCAATTAAGAGCTTCGGCGTTTCTCGAATCTGCGAACAGAATTCGAAGACTTCGAGTCTTCGAGGGAGTCTTATTTGGAGCCCCGAATTTCAGCCTCAAATGTCGAATTATACCGAAGCTTCGAGGCTTGAAATAGTGTCGCCTCTCAAAAAATATAGTGTATAAAACGCGGCTATCCTGCGGAGCATCGTCGCGAACGATAAAATCTGCGGAATATCGCGATCTACGTCGACAAATTTAGAATTTCATATCATGACTTTTTACCGTCAACTTTGTGGAGCAGGACGGGGTTATCGGGACCGAGTCGACGTTATTTACACAGACATCTTCGCCGCTTATGTAACCAGAGGGTGCTTTCCCCTCGACAAAGAGAGCGTTGAATTAAATTGAGCGTTGTATTAAATAAGCATCGATTGTGGAGTTTTGACATTTAATTCACGGATAATACTGTCGATGCGATGAAGAGAGGAAGAAGTCGCGAGGGAGAGAGGGAGAGAGAGAAAGAGAGAGAGAGAGAGAGAGAGAGAGAGAGAGAGAGAGAGAGAGAGTGAACGGCACGATGCAACAGCTGATAACGGAAACAACAATCTGCGACGTATCGGAAATAAAGGGAAGACACTGAAAGATATTTCCGAGCCGACGCCGTCTCCCGAGACGCGCTTCGCGCATTATTCTTGCGACGCGCCCACGCGCACGTCCGCCTCGCTCGCGGTGTCGCTCGTTACGCGAATTCAATTTGTAACTTTGATTGTTGCCGCGAGGGGGAAAAAGTTTATAGGGAGGATCGTCACAAAATGCTCTCTCTTTCTCTCTTCTCCCTGGCTCCCATCCCCCCCCCTCTCTCTCTCTCTCTCTCTCTCTCTCTCTCTCTCTCTCTGTCTCTCTCTCTCTCTCTTTCTGTCTCGTGCGCGCGCGCGCCCGGTGTCGATAAACGAGAAACGGCTATCGATTTTCGGAGCCGTATCGGAACGACAATTGACACCGCGACGGCGCCCAGGTATTAAAGAGTTGTTCTCCATAAATATCGACAGTTATACGGCGGAAAGTGGCGTATACAAGGGTTGAGAGGGTGAGGGTAAATATTGGCTCGCACGTCAAAATTAGTAATCGACGTGTCAGTGGATTTAATCGGCGAGGAATAGTCGTTTCGCTTCGGATTTTATGACGCGAAAGTGAGCGCGACCGCGACGGCCGGTCTCCCGAGCCGATTCTCTTGTCGCAGGGCGCGACGAAATTCTAATTGCCAAGTTTCACTCGCGGATTTACCAGTGTTGAACGATCTATCTGTCATTTTTATCTGCATGCACTAGCGTGCGTGATAATTTCGGAATATTCCGGAGTCAAATGTAGGATACAAGACGACCGTCGTGAGATCATTTCATGAAACTGGAAATCTGTGTAGGACGTTTTGCGTGAACGCGTGCGCGCCATTTGGATTCACGACCGGTCGGTGATCAGCGCCCATTGTTTACACAGAGCTACTACTCTCCCGAAAGCGAAAATCCCCGGCGATTTTTCCTCAGCGAAAATATCGAGGCGGAGCGTACGGCTTTCGGTGTTCGATCTTCCGCGCATTTCGGAAGTCTCGGCTAAAATCTCCGACGAAGCAAAGTCCGCTTGAGACCGACCGAGGAAGATACGTAATTGTACCTTCAACTTTGAACGTCGAACGGCCGGACGTCGCGTCGACTCTATCCGAGAGATCAGGCGGGAAAAGCCGAAATTCCTATTTTCTATTTAACTGTAGCGCACGCGAACGCAAATCCGCACCGCTCGGTGGTATCTCGCGCGCGGTAACTCGCAATTAAAACGGGACGTCTTCGAATTCATGTTTATTCCATGAGGATTGTTTAAATTTGAAGCGCGCGTTAATTCCAATCAGCCCGCCACTTGGCAATGATTCTCGCGGCGGATTTCTAATTACGTTCTAATTGGGT